TTATTCTAAACATATTGATGTGTGTTTATAGCCCAAAAATCGGCCTTAGAAGCAATGGAAAAGGAGTTTACGGCCTAAGCAGCTCCTTAGGCCGTAAACACCCAAAACAAGGTCAAAATGACCCAAACTTGTCCCTAATAGCTTGAAAATAAATAGGGGAATTATCCTAGGGGTGTTTAAACACTAAAATGCATGGATTTAGGACTCAAAGAAGAGTTTACGGCCCAAGCACATGCTTAGGCCGTAAACTCCCCAAGTCATGGTCCCAAATGCACTCCAAACTCATCCTAGGGCTCCATACATAATTTAGGAACTTATCCTCTTGATTTTAGACCCTTGAAACACTCCAAAATGAATTATTAAAGGGAGTTTACGGCCAGACAAGGGTCGAGGCCGTAAACACCCTTAAACATGCCCAAAATAATTGTTTTGTCCCCCAAATAGCCTCATACATTTACCATGAAATAGTAGGAGGGGATTTAAAGGCTTAAACACAAGGAAATGAGGCATGACTTGGAGTTTACGGCCCAAGCATTTATCTAGGCCATAAACTCCCCAAAGCCCACTCAAATGATGCTTTTAATCCTCCAAAATAGCATCATACTTCATTACAAATCACTAGAAAGGCATTAGGGGCTTTAAACTTCCCAAAACTCTAAGGATTAGAGTTTACAGCTGTAAACTCCTTTAGGAGTGGTCCCTTGGCCGTAAACTCCTATATCATGCCCTTAGAGGCCTCAAACCCACTCATGCCTTTTGGGAAATGTGCTTAGAATAAATCAATGAGCAAGCTAGAAGCATAAAACACCCAAGAATGTGACCTTGGGAGTTTACGGTTGTAAACTCCCTTGAGTTAGGCCGTAAACTCCAAATTGGTCCATGTTAATTCTTTAAACCCATTCACACACTTGATATTTGAGTTTAGCAAAGTTCCACAACTGATAGGAGACCCTTAGCACCCTCAAACGCTACTCGGGACCCCAAACACTTAACCAAAGGTGTTTTCCGCTCCTGTGAGCGCGTATATTTGTGTAATTAGCATTAAATATACTAATTGTATGTGAACATATGTTATCATATGTTAAATAGGTCATTGAGTGTGTTCGAGTCATTACGTGGCACCGAACGCCCAAACAACACTCTCGTTGGACCTACTTACACCAGGTGAGTTCATACCCTTGAATAAACCTTTTAATGTTTTTTAAATGTTTTCTAGGGGGGGGGGGAATATAAGTTAAACATGCTAGTTATCATGTCAATCACATGTGATTGATAACCCGCATGCACAAGATTTTACCACTCTACACTGTTTTACAGAGTGGGGCACTATAATGGTTTTCAAAAAGGTTTTCATTTGTTTCAAAACTTTTACTTGTACTGTTTTATCTAAATTCATGCTAAACTGGTTTATGAATGATTTCCAAAGGCTTTCAAACATGTTTTTACAAAAGAATACAAATTGTGATTTTCCCGAGTATAAAGGTTTTTCATCAGAATTCACTTTCACGACGTATACTTTTACTTGCTTGTTACTGCTGCTTCACTTTTACTTATTTTAAATTCCTACTCGATAACGCTTTCACTTCGCGATACGCTTATACCAGATTTTTGTCTCTATATCACTTATACTTGTAGCCTCTTATACTTGATAGACGTTCTTACTTCATTTATTGTCGTCTCTGCTTCGTGGTACACTTATACTTCACGACTCGATGTTTCACTGTACGCTTATACTTCATGACTTGATGTTCCACTGTACACTTATACTTCTCGATGTGATGTTCCATTGTACGCTTATACTTCACGACTCGATGTTCCACTGTACACTTATACTTCACGACTTGATGTTCCACTGTACGCTTATACTTCACGACTCGATGTTCCACTATACACTTATACTTCACGACTCGGATGTTCCACTGTACACTTATACTTCACTGCATGATACCACTTGATACACACTTAAGCGTAGTTAGATATATGTTTATGCTTGTATAGATGCATATAAATAATGATTGAAGGACTTATGAAGGCTTGTCCGCCCTATTTCCTTTTCTTCGTTGAGATGTGGTCTGGTGGGAACGGATGTCCATCTGAAGGTCGTTCGATTCATTAGTTATATATTATGTACACGAGCATAGACATACGAGTTTTCTTCAGTCAATTTAGTTAAGAGTCTCTACCTCTAGATCAGCACTTACTTCAGAAACCCACTATCCACTGTTTTGAAAGCCATTACCCACTATTTGGGATGCATCTTCAGGACACGGCCTTCTCTGTCGTCTAATTGGTAACCAGAGTCTCCTGTAGGGAGAGTGGACATTGTGTGTATAGATCTATATGTGATTGACACCCCCGCACCCTGACTGCTAGCTACAGTCCACGGCTCACCAAGCCAAGGGGGTGACAAATGTCACATTATATAGACGCTTGTAGGGCGTCTGGTACTCTAGTGTCGGTTAGTATGGTTACGAGTATCCCGGGTTACCTTATAATTCATGGCCTTAAGGTAACAGTATTTCACCGGCAATCTACACTGTATGCTGGTAATTCATTTTCAGAGTCACACTGTTTGACCTTACAAGAGGTATCTTTCATTTGATACTGTCTGGGGTCTGTTATCTCTGTTTGACCTTACAAGATGTAACTTTCATTTGATACTGTCTGGGGTCTGTTATCTCTGTTTGACCTTACAAGATGTATCTTTCCTTTGATACTGTATGGGGTCTGTACCCATTGTATTCACAGAATCCACTATATTCACGGTATTCGCTGTGTTCACCGTTCTAGACCTTGCTAGACATATCTTTCATTAGATATTGTATGCGGTATGTAGTCACTATTTAGACCCTACTAGTTATACCCTTCATTTGGTACCTTCCGGGGTCTGTGTCTCCACTTATTAGACTGAACCAGGCGTGTCGTTTATTTGATACTTTCCTGGAGTCTATGGTTCTTTGCCTTAATCAGCAGTCCTCACTGCTGAGGCATATGATATTTCCTGATGTCGTTGCTTTCCTCAAAAATCAAATTCAGTCTTTTGATAATGATAGCAATTTAGGGAAAACTACTTTTTACCCCACATCACTGACCAATCTTGGTTGAAGGCTGCTTTTATTAAAGAAAATATAGGATTTTCTGGAAAGGACTCTAATACACTGAAATCTCTTAAACTATTACTTTCTTAAGTTATTTGAATGAAATGTCACTAAATGCTTATGAGCTCACCAGCATTTGTAAAAATGCTGATACTCGCTTTTCAAATAACTTGTATTCTCAGGTTAGCATTAGACAGGTACATCTCCGGAGCTGTTGATGAAGATAGCTTAGTACCACGCTGTATTTATGCTATTACTTGTATTACTTTAAAGTGTTGTAATGTAACCTTGTAAAACTATTACTATTAATGCAATGTTTTGTTGTACTTTGATTACTATAATGCATGTGCTGTGATACTTGACATGACGTCATCCACCCCAGAACGTTTCCGCCGTTCCGGTTTTGGGGTGTGACATAAGGGCTCCAACATCTCTTGCAGCCTGTGACAACATATATTATAATTTTTTTTTATTATTTATTCTTATAATTCAAAGAATTTAGATAAAATTGTATTATATATATAATACAAAAATAAAACATGTGTCATCTTCCACATTATTAATGGATATAATGCAAACCAAGATTCATGGAGTATGACATTTTTAACTTACAGTAAGAAAAAAGCTGATAAAGATGGGGCCTTGGATGAAAAACGCCTTCAATGGAGTAAATGTACTAACACTATGCCTGCAAAAATATTAAATTTATTAATATAAGCATTGTCTATAATCATGTAAGTAACAACTAATATCATGTGATGCATAACTTATACATATCACACAATAAGGAACATGGACAACTACTTACTCCTTGAATACTCTCTTCATTTTTTCCTAACCTTTAGCTACAACTGATGGACTCATGCCTTGAAAAGAGGATTTTAATAATAATTTGAAATAAGTAAACAAGTCTCACCTTCTTAAATGCTGAAATGTGTCTAATTTGATTAGTAAATAATTAATCAACAACTATTCTTGAGCTCACAAAGCATAAACATGATGTTTTAAGGGTTCAATGTTTGTGTTTTTTTTTTAACTATACACCATTAAGGAAGAAGTTTGATGGGCATACCCTATCTTGCATCTCCTGCTTATCTATTCTAATTCTAGCCTCAAAATCTGTATGCATGATATGAAAAAATCAATGCCACTTTTAATGGGGGGGGGGGGAGTATGATGCTGAAATATACATACCAATTATCAAATTATAAACTAAAGTTAAAATTAGATTAATTGAATTTTATCCAGTTTGTAGGACCGTCACTGTATCAATTATGGTAGGGATCATAACCATAGCGAGTTGACGAACATGGCATTAATGAAAACTTTTCAAAATGAAGAAAGACATGAGAAAGCGTAAGAATGTAAGCAGAGCACAGTGAATCAAAGAATGTTTCTTATAAAGTTCATTTATGATCCTCAAATAAAAAATAAAGCAACTACAGATATTATTGGCCATGAGGGAAGTAACCTCATTATTGATCTCAATGTAGGACACAAGCAATAAGAACTCCCTTCTTGCCGTCTGAACAGTTATTTCAAGGTGTTCATTATTCATAAACAAGAATCATGATATAAATAATAAAGCAAATACACCAAAACTGCACACAGAATTTGTGTGTGTATTTTTTTATGCATATATGTAAGCATGTACACACATACATTTATGTATGTGTGTTATACGTGTAGGAACATACAAATAATCATATGGACAGGATACTTGCATCATACCTTGATTATATTAACTATTAATTAATAAGCAACAACTTTTCTTTCTAGCTGCCAATTAGAGCTTGCTGTCATAGACTCTTAAACCTAGAGAGATTACAGAATGCCACCTTTAAAATCTAGCATTTAATTCATTTATCCTACTAACATTGAATTTTGTCACTTAGAAGAATCCTATGAGTCACAATCTCCCCGTGTTGGTGACTCCATTGATTCCCACTGCCACTTCCAAGTGTTAGCAGCTTCTCCACGTGTTCGAATACAACACAAAGCTGTTTTACATCTTGTATTATTTCCATATCACCCGATAGCTTGTTTGTCGCCAATGCAATAAGTCAGATTAAAAAAATGACTACTTTACGCTTGTGTCTAAAAATTGTAAATGAGACATTACACATACCTTGCAAAGGCTTCAATGCAGAAGCAATGGTGAAGTATAATTGGTTGATTTTTATTCTCATAAGCTAGTCTGGTTAAGAGTGTCAGCTGCAACTCTGAAAACAGTACACACCATTTGCTCCAGTAATTGATGTGGTCTTAGTATTTCCACATAATGAAGTATATGTATAGATATTGGATGATGTTAGTTTCATTGATCATGGAGGGTAAGTGTGGAAAAATAAAAAAAAAATGTACCTTTTTTCTTCTCTATTTGGGTCCATAAAATCATCAAACAATAAAAAGTTAGGGGAATTATCTGAGATAAAAACACCATTTTATGTAGTACCTGAAGATAAGATGTCCTTCTCCAACTGCCCAAAGAAGATCTGAAAAAAAATTATACACAATTTTTAGCAAAGAAATTTATTTTATAAAGCCTAACGCATGGGTAACACAGCAACAAAAAAGAAAGAAAACCCAATACTCAAAGATGATAATTAGATGTTAAAAGACTGAATATGGCAAGAATATAAAGTGGTAAAAGATTGAAACAAATAGAAAATATGACATGATATGAAGAAAAGAAACTTGAAAAAAAGAAGTAAAGCAATTTAGACATGTTTTCCATATTTTGAATCACAGTAAATAGCAATACTTCTTTTTAAATCTGGAGAATTTATTAAACTTGTGAACATAAATTGAAACCAAATAAATGGGGAAAAGAAGAACCAGACCCCATATCCTTTTGCTGCTGACCTGGCATGTTTTCATCAACACTAACAGAAGAATCCTTGACATTTTTATCACTAAGAGAGGGTTTTTATTTGTCCTTTTGAGCTAAAGTTCTGACAATCGTTGGAATTGGTGGTTTTCTAGTAGATTGGAGAGGTTTGGATTTAGCCTTAGGAAATATATATATATATATATATATATATATATATATATATATATATATATATATATATATATATATATATATATATATATAATAATATAAAAAAATTGAGAAACCAAATAAATGGGGAAAAGAGAAAGTAACTAACCTCAGAAGTATGGAGTCCTTTCAAACTAGACCACTCAATCTACTTGTCATCCTTCCAGACAAGAGTTGGCCTCACATGCCATGACCTAACAATTGATGTCTTTCCTTAAGCTGGAAAGGGAAAAAAGGTAAAAACTCAACACAATTTATAAATTTTGAAGGAAAAGTCAGATAATAATACCTACCAGGATACTGGACAGTTAAAGAAGCTAAATCAATCTTATTTGTGTCCATAACAATTGCTTCATGTCAGCTACAAAAAAGCAGTAAAAAAATAGAGTTTGTGATGATTAATAAGTATTAACGATTGAAAATGTAATGAGTTGAGTTAAATGGTTACCTATCTTGTACCCAAACATCAACATGATCTCCACTACTCCAAGCATAATCTGAAAAGACTGTTCTGCCCCTCTTTCTACTCCTTTCAAATTGCATGGTGGTCACATCAATATTCAATGCTCTTATGCTCCAAGCTAATACACAGTTACCATCATTTGATAGAGAGATACTATTCCATCAATCCGGATGTCAAATGTGCGTACAATTCCGTCAACACTTCCAGCAATAATCTCAATTTTTGTTAAACAGATAGACATAACGTTGTCTAGAAAGGTGTCAATGATCTGTGAATCAATTAAATCTGTCATCAACTTTTGATAATATAAATATATAGAAAAAAACTTAGTACACACGTAGATGTAGAAAAGGGAAAGGGAAAGAAAGCTAAACCCGAATTGGCTCAGTGCTGTGAGATCTATAGTCCCAGGCACGTAATGAACGATCATACCCTGCTGATACAACAACAAATGAATATTCATTGAACTTTACTTCATTCACCTGCACAAAAATGGTGTTATTATTATGAAATTATAAATATGTGTTATGTGATTGATAAATTGGTTTGTTAGGGAAATTACATACCTCACTGTCGTGACCTCAAAACTTTTTGATCACACACCCAGTCGATTGGAAGAAGGAGGTTCAATTCAAATCATACTAACTGCTCATTAGAACTAGCATACAAGAGTGGTAAAAGTGTAGAAGAAGGGGAGCCTTTTGGCTGAAATAAAGATTCACCATCAAAGTCCTTATTATTTCCTAGTTTTTTTGTGGCTTTGATTTTTCTGTCAGTTGTGCTAGCACCAATTGTTAGAACCCATGGAGCTATATTTGTTACAGTACCATTGAACGGACCTGAGTTCCCTGTTGCACAACTCACAAAGATTCCTTTTTGGATAGATGCAAATGAGGCTATTGCAATGTTGTCTTGAAAAAGAGGCATGTTTTCTTCTTCAATAGAAATTGACATCACATCAGCTCCATCAGCTACTGCAGCATCAAGCCTGGCTAAGATGTCACTCTCTGGCTAATCTAGACCAAGACATACTTTATAAACCACCAGATGAGCATAAGGTGCCATCCCGACGGCTAATATTTCACTCTCTGGGCAATCTAGACAAAAAAGTAGACCATCGGTTCATTTTTTATTATGGAAGTTTCGTTTGAGCAATTCAACAAACAGTTGGCATGCATTGTTCGAACAAAAAATTCAAAAAACTATAGCGGGTGATAGTTACACCAAATCATCCACCATGGTTGATTAATCGATTGACCAACTCTCTATCTCAATCTATTGGTAATTACAAGGAGAGTGAAATAAAAAGGAAAGGGGGGAAGTAGTAGCATAGGAAAGAAAAAAGTTCAGAACTTTAAAATCATGTCTACGTACCTTCAAAATTGAAGCCAAAAAACTCAAAACTGTTGATTCGTGGCTGGAATTGTTGTTGTGGTGCGATGTTGGAATGGTGGAGTCCGAGAGAAAACACAAATTGTGATGGGTAGCTATCATTGTTGGTAATGCCTGATTCATCAAAATCCCTAGTTCTTCGGTTGATCGTCTATTTTGTGAAAGAAGATATTACCATTGCAAATGCGTTATGTCTGATTAGGGTTTGCATAGAGAAGGAGTGAAAGTAGATCGTAGAGGAAGGGGTTTATAGAGAGAAGGAAGGGAGAGAATGAAATCGATCTGGCAGGTGTAGAGAGTACAGAGGAAGAGGAAGGCGAATGTTCAAAATTTTGGGGGATTTCATTTTCCCCCTTACCTGTCAAGGAGTCCTACAAACACGCGTTTAGTAAAAATTATAAAGAGACATTTGTAGACGACACACTTTTTATCATAGGTGCCCTCCATGTTGTTTTATTGGACATTAATTTTAGGGCGCGAGATAAATGCGTATCCTCTATCCTTCAAATTTTGGAAGGCTGACATTATTTTTAAGGATAAACAAAAATGCGTAACGTAAATCAGAGAGTGTCATTGTTTGCGCATCATTAAAGGGTATTTTCTTGTAGTGAAATGAGTTAAAGTCTTCAAGCTTACTCTAATCTTTGGTGAGTATTTCGTAAATCCCTAGTGATTTAATACATTTTCATGTCCATATCATCCTATTCTACATATAATATTATGTGTTAATATCCTTAGGGTATCATAAGCTTCAAAGAGTTCATCAAGCACTTCAGGTGTTTTAGGCTTGAAATCCTCACTTTGTCACTTCAAATCATCCACCAAACCAAATAAAGGTGAGTTAATACTTAATACCCCCATATTTTTCAAGCTTTTCTATGTTTTTAGGGGGGAATACAAGTAAAACTTTGTTTATCCCATAAATAATTTCTTGTTTTTCATCTTTTGTTAAAGAAAAAATATTATTTACATAAGTTATGGTTTATATTGGTAAAAATATTTGTGTTATACTTATTGTCTTGAACAAACAAAATATATGTTGTAAAATCATAAGAAAAGTATGATTTGTAAAACTACATGGTTTTGGGAACTTATACTAAAAGATAACATTATTAGCAAAAATGGCACCTTATAGTAACTTACTAATCTAAAGGATTTTAGCACCAAAATATTATGTTTTGATTTCATATTTTCATGCTAGAATACACCTTTATATTTATATAAAAGACTATATAAATAGTCTCAAATTGACATGATAAACTATAAACGAGTATAGTTTGGAAACCACAAACCACGCCTTTCAAAGAGACATATAATTATTCAAAGGCATAATTATCCTATTTTACAAGTAAAAAGGGAGTCATAGTTCACATAAATCTGTTAATGCTCTTGAGAGACTTCCCTTTGCAGTACCTACCTAGCGTACATCGAAAGTCATGTAGTTATAACCAGAGTCTCCTAGAGGGAGAACGGTGTAATTGTGTATAGATCTATACGGGGTTGACACCCCCACACCTGATTTGTTCGCTATAGCTCGTTGGGCCAGTCTAGAGTGACAAATATTCTACCATAACTGATGCCTGAAGAACGTCATGATAGGTAATTTAGTCATATAAAGCATGGTTGTAACGATTCACATAGGGATTAAGAAAATGATTTTTGGTTTACGGGAAACTTATAATTCATTGTTTTATTAAAAGAAATGAAACTATATACTACTTTCTATACGACATTCACTTCCATCCTGGTCTTAGGGTTTAAGATAATAGTCTTTTGTTTTTAGATAATATCAAATTTTCAGGAAATATACGTAATTACTTTACAAGGAAAGGATACCAAGGAATTATGTAACAACCCAATTTTACCAAGAAATTTTTCATTTTTAATTAATCAAACAAATCCCATAATCCATAGATTTCTAAACCATTTGTTTTCCAATTCACAATTATTACAATTTTGTTGTACTTTTTGAAAACATCAGAGAGTCCAAAACACACATAAAGAGAGGTAGAGAGCACGCCACGTCATCACGCCTTGCATTTGCCCGTAGGCTCTGAAGTACCTGAAACAATCAACAACCTGTAAGCGAAATTCTTAGTGAGTTTCCCAGAGCATACCACACACACAATCCACATATCACATATCCTGTTAGCTAAAAAAGCTACACACATATTTCATAAGCCATGCATCCATGAAACCTATGAGAATGCAATGGCTACCCCACATGGTCTTCACCTAGGACTGCCATGGGCTCCCCAACATGGCCTTACATCTAATGCCATGGGCTACCCCACATGGTCTTCACGTAGGACTACCATGGGCTACCCCACATGGTCTTATATCCAATGCCACGGGCTTCCCTTGGGGTCTTCATACAAAACATGCAATCACATAACAAAACACAAAATGTCTAGCACATATATCATATTCACATAATGGGCCGACCTTGGTGCCTTAGACCCATAGGTATGGTGAGAAGACTCACCTGTCAACGAATGCTGAACTGACACTTTGCAACCAAATATACCCCACCAGCTGCTCCACCCAACTACCTAAAAAGTGTCATACAATATCCAGTCATTTCCCCAGGGTCCATCTGTTGGAATAGTGTCTAAGGCTACAACTATATTAGGTAAGTATTTGATCCGGTTGTGCATGGTCCTTTTGGGTTGCCTTCACCAGAGCAACTTGATGGATGATTTGTTAAGAGAGAGTAAATATTATAAGGAATAATATTTGGTTATTTGATTAATATAAGTCATAGATTAATTGGAATTAATTTGGTGACTTAAAGAGATTAATTAAATAAGAGGGTATAAACTGTCAATTGTTTGATAGTTACACTTTAGACTATAAATCCTTATCCAAGATAGGTTGGACGATTTCTAGGGCTTGGATAAGCCAAAATCGTCCATAGGTTATCAAGGAAAGGATATGGATCAACTTAAAGTCTAAGTTATCCAATTAGGGTTAAAGCTGTAATCCTTAAGGAGTCTACAAGTATAAATAGACCCTAGGGGTGAGGGAATTCGACACACCATCTAAAGTAGAGATACTCTGGCCGAATTCCTCCCCTCTCCTCTCTCCTAAATCATCTTCTTGCTATTGGTGTTTGTAAGCCATTAGAGGAGTGACATTTGTGACTCTAGAAGCTCCAAGACAACAAGATCAACAAGGAATCAAAGGTATGATTCTAGATCTATTTCAATGTTGTTATTTAACCTAATTAGCCATTAGAAGTCTTGGATTCAAAGCATGTTTAATTAGAAAGCCTAGATCCGAGCATTAGGGTTTTGCATGCGCACATAGGAAAGTTCTTATGGCTAAAACCCATCAGTGGTATCAGAGCCTAGCTTGGTTTTCTTTAAATTGTTGCTTGATTAACTGAAACAAACCTGCAAAATTCGATTTTTGGGTTTTGAGTCATGGACTCGGCGAGTTCCAAAGTGGACTCGGCGAGTAGGCCTGACTCGGCGAGTCCCTTTGTGTACTCGGCGAGTCCGGGCGTCAGGATTAGGCAAAACCGGGATTTTTTCATGTTTATCTTATGGAAACTTACCTTAATCATATTAGATCAACCCTAATCCGATTTTTTGATATATATGACTATAATCTTGATCTAATTAAAGATATTTATCATCTAATAAAATATTTAATTTCCTTATATGATAATTGATTAATTATTTTGATAATTATCTTAAAAGAAATCTTGGATAAATCAAATAAAGATAATTAGGATATTAATTGTTAATTGGAATTATTTGTTATTTGATCCTCCATGTTTTAAATGTTTAAAACTTGCCCTCAAGTTTTGAAATTTATATTTGTGATTAAAAGTTTTAATTTAGACAACTTAAATTTCAAACCCTACGTTTTAAAAGGTTTAAAACACAACCTTATACTAATATGATATTACTAGATATATATATATATATATATATATATATATATATATATATATATATATATATGTATAACTAAATGCTAGTCTTACCGTTAGTAGGCCTCATTCACGAAGCCGATCTATAAGGTGGGTATAAGGTTGCGGCCTATAAAATGGCGCTTAATGGGTGTACACTCACACCCACCGCTTGCTTGATTGGTGGAGGGTCGTTAGCCGAACGGGTAGGATAGGGCAACCTCATCCTCTCATTAAAAGTATAATAAGAAATACAAAGTAACTACACGTTTTAAAAATTTCCCAATCTTAGTTACTTTAGGAAAAGTGAATTGATGCAATCCCATGAAATTACACTTTGCACCCTTGCTAAGAAGTTAGTGGAGCGTGTGTGGTTTACCGGCACACTAATTGGTTCTAAGCAAAGGTGGCAAAGGGTGATTCATTGTTTATCATAGTTCGATGGAGCGTGTGTGGTTTACCGGCACATCGAATAGGTGATCGTTACAATGAAGGCACCATGTGAATTTGCATGGTAATTCACACCCGCTTTGTGATCCTCGGCATCCCAGTCACAAACAAGAGGGGCATATCGAGATTTAAACATGCCATTGAATAGTTTCAATGAATCTCATCCGAACCTAGGAATTCTCAATACACTTAGGACTAATAGTCTAGGTTTTGTAATGGAGAATTAGTGAATCGTCATTCACTTACCTTCAATTTATTTTCATGTTAGATTACGGCATCCCTTTTCTAATATGTAAATGTTATTGTTGGATCCTAACCCTAATTTTTCTTATTGGGTGATAATTAGGGATTCTTATTCTAATCTATCTTTGTCCTTTCTATAGATGTCGAACACAAACAACGCTGCTGCTAGTTCTTTCACGTTGATGAGCCTTTGCCAAAAGGTCACCTTCGATGGAACGAACTTTAGCGAATGGATAAGATACATTCGCACCATTGCTCGCTATGAGGATAAGGAGTATGTCCTCGATGAAAAGCTTGAGAAGATCAACCCCGAAATCGCTACTCCGGCCGAAATCACCGCTTTTGAGACTCATGAGCGAGATGCAACGAAGGTACATTGCATCATGATTGCCACCATGAACTCCGAATTCCAAAAGTCCTACGAGGACATGTATCCATACGAGATGCATCAAGACTTATTGGAGAGATACCACCAAAACGCGAGACAAGA